GATTTTCTTTCTTGGGGCAATAGGATCATTTTGGCCTTGCACCTGCTTGATTTTCCTCAGGAACATCTCGTTTCTGTGTCAAAAGAAAAATCAGATATTTTTTAATTTGCAATGTTAGCAGAAATGGCAAGTTTTGGGCCGATCTTTTTTGCATATGTGGGGTAATGAGTTGTCTCGCTAAAATTTTTAGATACTCACGTCTTGGTTGGCAGGAACCTAATACATTTGTCCTAAATATAATATTTCCATTTATTCCAGTGATGTTTAGCATAGTTAAAACAAAACAGTCAATGGCCACCTGTTCAATTTTTTCACATGCGAAAAATCATGTCATTTTTTCGCTGTATTTTAACTATCCTTATATCACAATTTTACAATCATTATCTTAGTCCAACCCTTAATAACCCTTCCTACTTACATTTTACAAATTACAGACAGTTTCAAGATAGCAAAGAAGAAAGACCCTCTCTTAATGGTCGACTGTCGCTAAGGACAGACCATTCTCTCTCTCTCTCTCTCTCTCTTTGCTTATCAAGAAGAACAGCATCTATCTTGGCTGCTTTTCTATCGCTAATTATCTCTCTCTCGTTTTAGTTACGCGAAAAATTACCGCAAGTACTATTTTAAATCATGTACAGACAAAGTGTGCTCTACCTCGCAAAGTGTTATTACCGCGAAACACGTGTTTAGAAGAACCGCGAGTGTGCCTGGACATATTCCGCATAAGATCAAAAACCGCGAGAGTGTGGAGCAAAAAAAATATTGGTAAGACTTTGTATAAACTTAATTTGCTATTGTCTGTATACCCCCTACTACATATCCTAATTTATTTGAACCAGCCCTATATAATACGATCTACATACACTGAAATTATACAAATAATTTCTCACATATGTAAACCCTTTGTACATCACCTACATATGATTCTTGCCACTGAATAAAAACTCTTCAGTTGGTCCACTGAATCTACTCCCGATTTTGTTTGATTGTAAAAAGTAACTACTGCTCGTTTGCAAGCTTCACCACTTTCCTCGTCAATTTCCTCATATTCATGGAGGGTTGACAAAAGCAGGACATTCTTATTTTTTTTTGGGACGTACGAAACTAGTAAACATTCACGACCAAAAGAAAATAAACTGCTACGAATTGGCCGTTCTTTAGTTGCAACAAATATTTCAGCAATTTCACATTTGTCTTTTCTAATTGTCCCAACTAAAGTTATTTTTTTCTTTTTGAATTCTTCGGCCAAAGGAACTGACGTGAACCAGTTATCACAGGTTAAATTTCGTCCTGAATTCATAATGGGTTCACACAATCATTTCACCACATTGGCTGGACTGTTGTCAATACAAAATGGACCATCAGGCTGCTTTCCTGCGTAAATCTCCATTTTCACAGTATAAAATGCACGACTCCCAGCCAAGGCAAATATTTTTATCCCGTATTTGTTTGGTTTACTCGGGATATATTGCCTGAAGCTGCACCTTCCACGGAAACCCTCCAGCATTTCGTCAATAGTACAGTTCTCACCAGGCGTGTAGCAGGTTTGGCATCTTTCTATAAATTTCCCAAATATATTTCTTATACTAGCTAGCTTATCAATTAATTTGCGTTTAGCTCTTGTCTGAATATTATCAAAAGGTAGTGCTCGAAGCAACCAATAGAAACGTTTCAGGGGCATTACCATTTTGAATAACTCGAACTGTAGAATCGTTGCTCCATAGGTCATTTAGGTTGGTGTGTCGGGATTTCAAAACTCCTACCATGTACAACAATCCAAACACTGCTTTTATTTCGTCACAGTCAGTATCTAAAACATCTCGTTCGCGTGTATAGTTGCCTCTAATTTTCTCTAGGTACAAATTTGTGCACGTCACAATTTCTTCAATGATATCCTCTGTTATGAATAGGTTCCAACTTTCATGTGAAGTTTGCATCCTTTGCCGCATGTTTCACTCCCGGTAGTTTGCTAATAATACTGTGCTATCGAATACGGCTAGTTTTTCGCTCACGGTGAACTTTCCAAATGGTTTTTTTGTCTCTGTCGATATATTTGGGACCATCTTCAGACCAAAACGTTGAAATAGTATTTGTCGTATCATCGGCCGAAAACTCTGAGTCTGTCTCATGATTAGAACTGACTTCTACTGAATCTATGTCGCTTTCTTCATCGTCCAAATTTTGCTCTTGCGTCTGTTCAAGTAACAAATCCTCTTGCTCCAATTCTTCATATATTTTTAACAGTCTTCTCTTCTCTTCTTTAGGATCCATTACACAATAATATTTTAAAGTTATATGATTTAAAACACAAAGTCAATAAAAAAACCCAACAAAAATTGCTCTGTAGCTTTCCAAAATCGTCACGTCGTTAATCGCGGGTGAGCTAATCGCTCATTTCTCGACATCTGCGTTTAATCAATACTTGGAATAGACTGACGGTTGCTCGATTACAATTCTGCGTAAAACATTCTATACACAATAGTACTAGGAAGGATTACATGAGCGCAGTTGCCAATGTGAGTAAAATTGTGATAAATGTTAAGAAAAAAGTAAAATGGTGAGCGTTGCGCTCACCATGTGACCAACGCAGGGTTAAAAAGATTTCTCGAAGGTGGTATTTCTCGAACATATCTACAAAAATTAAACTTATATACTAAGTTTCTATAAAATCCAGTAAAATAAATGGAAGTTAGACAAATCCGATGTATTGGTTTTTTGACCTTTTTTTTTATAGCCCTTTTCTATCCGAATTGTCGAATCAAGGCCTCTCCCATTTCTCGCCATTCATCCCTGTTGTGTGCTAGTTTCCACATTGGTCCTGCGACTCTTTTGATATCGTCGCTCCAGCGCATTTGAGGTCTTCCTCTTGGTCTCTTCGCATCGTACGGTCGCCAGTTTCTGACTTCTTTGTTCCATCTACAATCTTCAAGACGTTCGTTGTGTCCAGCCCATTTCCATTTTAATTTAGCTGCTTGTTTCGCGGCGTCCTTTATTTTTGTTTTGTTCCGGATTGCTTCGTTCGTTTGCCGATCTATTATTGAGATACCAAGCATCTGTCGTTCCATGGCTCGCTGAGTTTTTCGAATCTTCTTTGTGAATGTCCAGGTTTGAGCTCCGTAAGTGAGAACGGGAAGGATACAAGAATCGAACACTTTGGTTTGAAGGTTTTGAGGTATCTTTTTGTCTTTCAGTATGTATGAGAGTTTTCCAAATGCGGCCCATCCCATTCTTACTCGTCTGCTTATTTCGGTAGTTTGGTTTTCTTTGTTTACCTTGATATTCTGACCCAGATATATGTATTCTTCTACATGTTCCACTTTTGTTCCTTGGATGGTTATCGTCGGTTGATCATCTTTATTCGACATTAGCTTAGTTTTACTCAGATTCATTTTCAGTCCTTTTTTTATGGATTCCGTATGAAGCTCATCGATCATCGTCTTCAGTTCTTTCCAGCTGTCGGCTTTTAGTACTACGTCATCTGAATATCTTGGATGGTTTAAATACTTTCCGTTTATCGATAGTCTCTTCTTTTCCCAATTTAGTGATTTAAAGATGTCTTCAAGTTAGGCAGTAAATAGTTTTGGAGATATGGTGTCTCCCTGTCTTACTCCTCGGTTGATTTTTATTCGCCTCGTTTTCATTCCGTTATCGACCGTGACTACCATTTCAGCGTGTTGATATATATTATGTATTAATATCCTATATCTAGAATCTATTCTGCTGTTGACAAGTGCTTCCTCAATAGCCCATAATTCTATGCTGTCAAAAGCTTTCTCGTAGTCTATAAATGCTAAAGAGATTGGTAAATTGTATTCGTTAACTTTTTCTATTAGGACCTTTAATGTGTGAAGATGGTCACATGTACTGAACCCTTTTCTAAATCCGGCTTGCTCTACTGGTTGATATACATCGAACCATGTTGTCAATCTATTTGTAATTATTTTTGTGAATGTTTTATAAAGTTGTGATAGTAGTGATATTGGACGATAATTTTTCAGATCTGTATTGTCCCCTTTTTTGTGTATTGATATTGTGTTAGCAGTATTCCATTCCTTTACAATTGATATTATTAGACAATCATGACTCATCTACTACACGTATCCAACGGAAACGGTCCTGCAAAGTTATCGTATTATTCCTCCTCATTGTTTGTGTTTAAAGTGTATTAGAAAAGCAATTATTAAACCGATTACATAATAGTACGCTTCCTATGTCCCCGAAATCCGAAACATAATCACCCGCAAACCCACCCCACGTATTCATATTAGAATAGCAGACACATTATTCAGATTTTTCCGAATAATATTCAAAATATTTGCGGAATTCGTGTCGTCTTCTATATCTCCCGAAATATTTTGTAATACATTTACCCATCCGCGTGTAGTGTGTATCCCTCTAAGGCTAATGCAAAAAGCATTTTGCGCGATTATTTAGAAAGGCAAGGCAGAGTGGGCTTTGACAAGCAAGTAAATAAGAGGAACTTTGTTTGAGATGGGTGCAGAAGATGCTGCCGGTGCATATTCGAGGATGGAACTTTACTTAGGGTAAATGATTCTGTAATCAGGTTAGACCAGACGGTTGGTCTTGTCAAAGGTAGATCCATATGTGCTAATTATATAGAGGGAATCAAAAATATGTTAATAAATTGATGAATATCTTTTGATGTAGGTATATATAGATAGTTGCATATCTTGTATAGTTATAAGTTAAATGCATTTAGAAACACAGACAAGAGATTTGATGCCTATAAACAATTTAGAATCTGTTCTTAGTATAGGAACAACAAGTAAAATTTTCTCCAAAGAGAAAATACTTCGAATATTAGTTTACTACACAGATTTAGCCACACAGTTCATACTCCCTCTTAGGGGAAAATTGACCCATTCCAGACACCCCCGGTATCAAAAGGATTGAGCTCTGATGGGACTCTTTTCATGTTATCGCGCCCAAAGGGACTTGGTACGTCGTAGTATCTGCCAAAAGATTTCTTACGTATCTACATGTTGAGAGCAGTAGGTTCTCCAAGAGGCTCCAGGATAACTCCAGTAGTAGAAAGAATAACAACTTTGTCACCTGGTAATAGATGCGCAAAATATTTTCGTCAGCACCTTCAGCGAGTAGAGCTCTTGTTCTTGTTTAGCTCAGTTGTGTTTGTCGTTATTGTTGGACTGTAGCTGATTGTATGACAGAGTCCGCCTCCTCAACACGCTACCACCGCTGCCCTGGCGGTCCAAATTTCCATTTTCATGGGTGTGCATTTTGTACTTACTGCCAGGTGTCAGTTTTTGTTCCACGGTAGATATCTTTGCTACTCTCTGGGTATCAATACTAAAAATACTCAGGGAGTATCCCCCTTCGTTTGACAGAAGAACTGATAAAAACTTCAACAGGATTTACTACACTACTATTAAATGTAGTAATATTATCTAATTAAATCTATTACTCAAGTACGTTGGTTTGAATCGTTTTAAACGACTTCTTAAAACGACTTCTTAAAACAAGAAACGATTTCTTCTTTTACAATCTTTAGAGGAATTCAAGGTTTGAGTTACTAGGTGCACCCCAAAGTACCACTTGGAATGTTTATACCGGCTTTATGAGTAATTTGTAAAAGGTACCTTGCGTCATTGGTTTGTTAAAGCTGTATACCATTCATTGTGACCGGTTGGCAGGTATCCCTTTTCATTGTGAAGCTTACATAGATTTCTCGCTTTTCAACTTCCATAATTTCATTCCATTTCTTCTTTTCATCATTTGGGTGGTCGATTTCGTTTCTATTCTTTTACCGGGACCCAACTCCATATTTTTTTGGCCATCTAGTATCATTTATTTATTATAAATGGCCATACCAGATTAGTCTTTTCTTTGCTATAGTTTCTATAGCTTTATTCCATTCTTTGTGGCCTATATTGGTCTGATCTTTATAGGTCCTACGTAAAAAATCCACAACCATAGATATCGGCATAATCATATCCCCAATACAAAGCATACAGTTTACACATATGTACCATAGTTCTTTATTTTTACCAAAATCACCACAAATGATGTGTAGTTCCTCAACACCAGTCTCACGTCCCCTTCCTTCAACAAAATAGCATCTAACTCTTGTTCATCATCACATAAAACCTTTTGTTTTCCCTCAGACTGAGAAGATGACGAACTGTTCTTTGTAATTTGTTTTTTTTTATATTATTTTTTGTTGTTTTTTAATACTTTTGTACTAGCCCATTTTTTCTAGTTTAATCTTTTTGGTAGCTCGGTTTTTTTTCTTCTAACACAGATTTCATAGGTGTTGAGGAAAGTACTTTTGATTGTTGTTTTCTCTGTTTAACTTTCCCCTTCTCTTTTGGGATATTCTTCTTTGCAGGTGATAGCGATATTTTATTGAAAGGTATAAAGAGCCGTTCCTACTGTATGGCTGGTAATCCCTGAAGCCACCTGAACCCACCTCGTCTGACATGCTTGGCAAAGTTCTCCCAAATTCCTCTTGTGCGCTCCTTACAAATCGTCCAGACAGACACGCCATTTTCTGAACCCCAGCTTTTTAGTAGTCTACTACTTCTCTACCAATGCAACAATCAACTCGTTAACCACACTACCATTACTCCGACAAAAAAGGAGTGCCCCTTCCTTGAAGAGGCGCATGCCTTAACAAGGTTTAAACTCTGGTTCCTAAATTGAAAGGTAAATCACAAAAATTTGTCGTTAGACGTGCTGAAGCTAGATAAGTAGTTGTTGGCATCGATGGAAGTGAAATATTAACTTTATCCACTTCTGGTTTTTAGGAAGTAATGAATTTTGGATTCCTGATGTTGATGGACGTGCATCGTCAATAGATTCAGGTGATTCTGTATTTGTAGGTAGCAACAATTCGTAAATGTCCAGGAACCATACCTATATTTTTAACAGCTTGTCAGGAGGGTTTTTATCTTCATCTTGTATCAATTGGCTGAGAACGTTTTGGATTGAATAGCCAAATGCCGGCTACTCAAAATCCACTAACTGCTTTTACTGCATTAGCAACATTCAAATATGTTTAAGTAAACAGTGGAATCAATTATAGAGATGTTAGTCTTTCATATTGATGGAGTTTCATGTATGTATCACATTGTTTATACAAAGCTACTTTTCATCGACTGTATACTGTCGAATCCAGTGGTTGAGTCCTATACGAAGTATAGAGTGATTTTGTCACCATAATAATGTCATTTTTGCGACAGAAATCGTACATTTTCAAAGAAATATTACTACTGTAATTGTCTAAGATCAATAGATCAATAAGACTGGTCTCCTATTGATGGTTTTGTATGTTCTGTAAAATGGACTATCCATATGTAGAACAATTCCTCACTCATTTGCCCAGACTTAGAACATTTATAAATAGAACCGTTTGGCCCTTCTTGCTCTAAAAATAGATGCAATCTTAAATAGGGATATATGATTTGTTGTGGAACATATTATCCTGTTGTACTAATATAGCAACAGACAGTTATGGTTGTTCCCAATTGGTAACAGCTCTTTATTGTTTAATGCTCTTAGGAGCAAGTACTTTGCCAGGTTTATTAGCTATACTGATGCCACATGTTTCGTCCACATTAAAAATTTAATGAGAACAAAATTTGTAATTATTGTATGTTGAGACCAGATTACAAAAGAACAACTGGTAATAAATGCAATAATTTGATTAGCACTGGTAGGTTCCACGAGCTTGACACTTATTTCAGGATTTCTTTTTAAAAACTCAGTTAAGAACCAGTCTTCACCAGCTTCTTTTCTATCTCTATTTTGAAAATATTTGTAATGTTATTAGACTCAGTATAAACAAATAATGTAGCTTTTAATGATTGTGGCGTCAATCCATAAAACAATTCTGGCAGAAGTAAATTTTGATTTATAGTTTCTGTTTTCTATTTATTTGAGAAAGCA